ATACTGCACACATTATCCTGCACATTGCTCGATGAGCAAGGCATTCCAAAACATCTTTATCCAGCTAATGTTAATTGTAAACAATGTCCATCATATTCACTGCTATAAAGAAATGATTTATATAATACACATGAATTTTGAATCAGTAAGAGTAAAATAAGTAAGTCTTTGAGATGTATATCAGCGTATGTTAATTAATATGGTAGGGGTCTTAAGTAAATATTATTTCATTCATGGGCGGGAACTAAACCCATAGGGGTTATCCAATGTAAGTGTGATAGACAATTGAAAAGGAAGGGTATCTCAAATTATACTCGAGTCATTCACCGGCACCAAGGCACCTCTTGGAAGGGTACTGTAGTTTGTGTTCGATTATCTATAGCTGTTTGCAAAGGATATATACTGTTTTTGCTACAGGAGTGTTGGAGGAGTATCCACCGCTGTGTTAGTGGGTGCTTAAATTTTTTAGCACAATAACACCGAGAAGAGTCTCAGATTTAGAATTCAACACACGTATCTCACCCGGTCCATCTGTGTGCGGATACTCCAGAAGTACCTGGCAATCCTCCTCTGTTTATTCTCATTAGTTTTGCAGCTTCCATTTTTGATATGTATGATTCTAGGTCTGCAGAGTTACCTACATATTCCAGGAACAGATATTTGTGGGTATTCAACTGGTTACATTGTTTTATATTTAGCATTCTTTAATCTCTCCTTTCACCTTACTCGTTACTACGGACTGTCATTCCAGTTCGCGCTCTAGCTCCAGGGGTATCGACTTGTAATTGGTATTATGTTGACATTTTTTTGAGGTGTTTAGTAGTTTCGTATTTCCAGAATTTAGTGAAAATTTGGTTTGGTTAGTGCTATCATCCCTTTCCTTCAAATTCTCGGAAAAGTATTATCCGTTTCCATTATTTTTGTGTTCAGCTCTTATCAGCAATTCCTGTTACTTGCATATTTTCAAACTTTAAAGATCTGGCTTAAATTTTTTATCCAGCCACTTCCAGTACAGAAATGGTGTTCTATTTCTGCTCTAGATGTTTCAGGGTTCCTGGTAATGAAGGGGTAGATGCTGAGGCAAAGGCTGTTGTATCGTGTGCTCATAGAAGACTTCTGCCTCAGTTACTTCATTGGCCACTAACATCACTATATGTTCTTAGGAGATGGCAAGAGGGGCGAGCCCTACAGACAAGCAACAATCTGTACTGGGCTCAGCAGGACGTCAGTCGTGGATATTTGGTCAAAGTACAAAAGTTTATAAGCTTCTAAAATATCTCTATTGCATAAAAAAAACTCTAAAATGCTATAGTTTGGCCACCCGTAATTGGTAGTGATTTTGTTGAATTATCTGGCCAGTCTGTAAATCTTGTATATAAAAATACATTTTTTTAAGTGCAATTTTTGTAAGTGTATTTGGAAATCTAAATTCACTCTAAAATTAAAAATTATATGTAATATTCATTTTTAGAGATATCCAGGGAGAGAGGACGGGAAGGGGAAAAGAGTGGGAAATATTAGAGTGAAAGGAAATCATTCTGTAACCTACAGCGTTCTCTTGAGACATTCTGGAAGTACTGGAAACCGGTATTACCCCACTTGATCTACTTTATCAACCAGATAGTGATACCTGTGGGCATGTGGGCTGCGTGCAATAGCAGCTTGGCTCGTCACACCGTCACGAAAGCTTGACCTTCTCAGGCCAGGCTTAAAGAGTACAGCGATTCTCGAAACCAGTCACAAATTTAGTTGACTTGCGAAATAATAACATGAGTGGAAGCAACTTGTAGAACAAATGGGGGTTTAACTTATAACAAGCCAGTCATTAAAACGAGGAGGCCAGTGCGTTAACTGCACGACCTATTAGGATTCATCTAATTTGGTATATTGTTATACCCTAGGAAGATTAGCATGGGCCCCACCTTAACCACAGTGCAGGATTTTCCAGAAATCTCGCACTATATTTGTCGCAAGCATTAACAGTAGTCTCTTCAAAACCGTTATTAAATGACGCGCGAAATTGGAGTAACACGATTGTAAAAAAAAAAAAATCTAAACGGAAAGGGTTCAATTGGCTTGCCATGGGACCGAACCCCATCCGTTCTGTGAGACGTAGTTGTATAGATCACTTAGTATATTGAGAGTTACTTATTTGTGTTTTGTATTTGAACTCGTTTTACTCGATTAAATAGCAATGCCGGTTATGTAAGTCTCAAGATAAGGAAAGGGATTTTTATGGAAGGTCGGAGTTATGGGGTCGGGAGGGGAAGAAGGGAGCAGCAAACAGCCAGTAGGGGACCTCTAATGGCTCTATGCAAATGAGATCGCAGCATAAGTGCCTCATAATGTAGTTAGGCTGAAGTATATAAGCGTGTGTGGAGGGGAAGAAGTGAAAGTGGAGGGAAGAGGAGGGGAGGAGGGAAAGACGTGTGGGGAGGAGAAGGCATGGCTGACGTATGAGGGAGGGAGGGATGGAAAGGTGGTGGTGGTTGGTGGCGGGGGGGGGGAGTTAGAGGGCGTGAGACGGAGGAAGGGCAATGTTTAAAGATAGTGTGAGGGTTGTTAGTTACGATTTAAAATTGAACTTAGAATTAGGTGTGCACAAATGGGGTAAAAGAGAGTGGAGAGCATACCTGGAGGGGTGTTCTGGGGGTCAACGCCCCCAAGATCTGGGCCATGACCACGCCTAGTTATTATTTCATAAAACCTTTATCACTAGTACACATTTTTATATAAATTTTGTTGTGTATATCCGGGGCGCGGTAAGGGGTTGTGGGCGTGCTGTGCTGTGCTGCGCCAGTGGTTCCTAACTCGCATCGCGACCCAAATTAGTAAGGTAGTATAGTCTTAAACATTTTTATTGCAAGTAACTTTACAAAATGGTCTGCATTCTGTTATTATTAACCAAACGCCAGACAATAATCATATTTTCTCGGAGGGAGGGATGGAGGTAAGTAGGGTGAGTGGGTAGGTCATCACAGGAAGTCTGCAGCTACAATACAGAATAAGGTTTTGAGGCGACGCTCTTGGCCACAATCCAAGTTTTGAACAAAAAGATGGTAGAATTACTAAGTTAGAAGAGCCTGCAGTGAAGGAGTATGTTGGTGCAGGAGAGAGGGAGGGAAGGAAGAATCAGGAAATCTTAACGCAGTGAGGGAATGTTGGCGCAGGGAGAGGAAGAGTTAAATGAAATTGTGAGAATAACAGTGGGGGCTGGGAAGTACGGGAGAACAGCGGGACAAAAATCATTGATTACATAAAGTACAAATGTCAGCCGAGGAACACTTAGGAGCATACATGCTCCGGTGAGGAGACACTTCAAAATACTGTCCAGGAAAGGAAGGTTGAAGGAGCCAGAAATCTTGAAGACGTACGGTGGAGTGGTAAACAGGAGGAAGAAAATAAAAATACAGACGTTGTGTACAGATTTTGCAAAAAAGCATTTGACTTAAATCACCATAGTGAGGTATAAAATGAAAGGTTGTTAAATTAATATTTAATTTAAAAAAAAGTGAGTGCAGTGTGTGATAAAGTATGTTATAGAATCAGGATAGTAAAAAACTTGATAAACACTAATCATAGGTTCGAATCATGTTTTGTGGATGATACCAAAATAATAGGGATGGGATAAAACAAAAATTATTGCGGATACTGATACCATCAAAATTAGCAAATACTTAACGATACCAATACTCAATGCCGATAGCAGATACTCACCGATACTAATACCGATACTTTGACACACTCCTAAAAATAAGCTTGAAAGTTCTCACTGCATAAGACAGAAAAATTGCAAACAGGTATCAACAGCAATAAAAAATTTACATTGAACAAAGAAAAGATGGACATTGGTGACAAATTCCAACTTCTGAGATATAGAAGAAAACGTAATCTGAGAGAGCACAGAATACGAAACGGAGGCAGACTATATACTAAAGACCTAGGAATAACAATGTCAGATGATTCACAGAAACTGCAAATGTACCAAAAACAAGAAAATGATTTGTTGGATTATGCGAGTTAAGTCAAGCCCATGATACTTTTCAAATCACTTGTGCTCTCACGTCTTCTGTGCTCACAGCTCCTAAAAAGAGAAATGGAAACTAAAAAAAGTACAGATATCATTTATTGCAAGCATATAAAACATCTCAACTGCTGGGGACCCTTCATAGCACTTATCGCGCGCGCGCACACCAGGAGCTGTGACTCGAGCCCTGCAACCATAAATAGGCGAATACGTACACACACACATAAATATTAAATATAATATATATATAATATATATATATATTATATATATTATATATATAATTATATTATATATATATTTATATATATATATAATATTATATATATATATATATATATATATATATATATATATATATGATCCCTATGGCTTTAGCACTTTCCCGTAAATGTAATAATACGTGTAATTGCAAGAAATAGGAACTGGTAATGAGCATAGTGAATACAGGCTGAGTAAAATTGAAGCAAAGGATGGAGTGGCAGTGGCGTGAGAGTAAAGGGTGAAATGGCATTGTTGCAAGGTGAAGGATATACAGAATAGATGGCTAGCTTTGTTAGAATACTGTATCATTGTTTGTGGCATCATTAACTGATGGTAGTGTTGCCAAACACTGTTACCTAAGGCAGTGTTATATTCATTTAAATCTGACTTTGAAGTTATTACAATGATTGTTTTGTTATTAGCTAGTTGGAGGAAAAAGCTAGTTCACAAAGTTGGCATAGACGATATTGTTGCTTTTTCTGGGTTGAAAAGGCGTGGTAGTTAGGATTCATGAGATTGGATGGGTTTGTGGGAGACACACATACAAATTAAGGCAAGTTCTTGAAGCTGCATTAATTATTTATAATTGTTACTATTATAATTGTTACTATCAGGATGTTCATTTCTTAAATGAAGTTGTTTTGAAATACATTGTTACATGCTTTTCTACATGTGTTGAGTTCTCTTAAACCTAACTATCTGTCTGCAGATTGTTGGAGAAACTTAAAGTAAGATGTCCCAACGTGGATCACTGCACTATGGAGATGCAGCGAGGAGACCTGGAAGACCACTTAAAGTACAGGTGAGTTGATTCTGTAATCTAAACTTTTATTGAACTGATATTGAAATTTAATCTTTTTTTTATTGGGTCTTGATTTGCCTGGTGAAAGTATTTCACTTTGAACTAGTTGTTGAAGGGTCTAGGTTTACTTGGCCCGTGGAAAGCTAAATATTTATTGTTGTAGTGTTCTGCCATCTTCAGTGTCAATTGTAATGTTCCCAACAACAATGTGTTTCTCTCACCATTCTTATTCATAAAAAGCTTCACAGTAAATCTTGGTAATATACGTTTCTTATTATGGCGACTCTGCAATGTTTCAGCAACATCTCTTATTGTTGAACGTAACATTCTGTGTTCTTTATATCTTATTTGAATTCTTTCTCTATGTTTAGCTTTTATTTCATAAAGAATGGGCATTTTTCACAAGCATTACAGTTACAGTTTTGGTCGAAGGCGTTTACAAAATTATGAAAATTATTTTAGTTTAGGTTAACCTTAGCTAACTAAACTTAAATTTATTTATAGTTAATTGCCAGTTACGAACTAATACAAATGGGCGAATTGCAGTTCCTCGAAGCGTTGCTATTGACACTTTTGGATAATGGGATGTTTCATGAAAAGAGCTACATTTCAATTTCCCAGGATTTCAATCCGTACCCCCACTCCCCCTCCCCCCCCAGGGTGGCTTTTCCCCCCAAGGGTAAGTATTTTAACAAGGATTACTTTTAGTATTAAGCAAGTTCCTGCAAACTTGCATTTCTTTAATTAATCGACCTCTACTTTCACGACTCTTCCTATAAGTCATTTGATTTGTGGGCCTTCTGTGCATACTATCAGGGTCTTATGATTTGTGTTTCCTCCTCTTTGTGCTATCAGTATCATGATTTTTGTACTTCATAATGTTTTTTGATTCTTGTATCTACTCTATGCTAAGTGTATCGTGGCTTGTTCTTATATGCGTTTTGTACTGATTGTTTTTGCCAAGAACGCTGAGAGATTTACCATATCAAAGCGCTTTTCAGATTCCTTTTTCTTCATATATGGTCACTTAGTTCTCTCAAAACAATGTCTTCTGATATACTGTATAAGTTATAGATCCTAAAAGATATCGCAATAGGTTTTTTTTTAATGCAGCTCTCCCTATGTAACCTATACTACCACACTCTAGGATACGAACCCGTAACAGTAGACTAACACCTACGTACTTATTTACTACAGTATGAACACGGACAATAAAAAAGTGACGCCCATAATTCTTGACTCAGTGTATTCTTCATGATACATCATTGTATACTACACCGCCACAAATGTTTTCCTTGATAGTTATCATCTTCAGTGCTAAAAGAGTCGTTGGGAAAATTTGTTGGAGTGCTTGTATCTTTTTTTCTGTTTTGCTGATGTGTGTGAAATGTGTTGGGAAGCTGTGCTGCTGCTGCACACTTCACTGCTCTCTCTTCTGATGTACACGAATCAGTATGAGACTTCCTACCCTGTATTTTACCATGCTTAAAAATTCATTATACTTGCTTCTAAGAATGGCAATATCAGTATTTTATTAGGCATTATTTTCTAAGTTTATATACCAAATATACAGTAACATTTCTCTTGAGTATAGAGTGAAATCTGCACTGTGTGCCGAAGTTTTGACGTAGTCTGTTGACTTTACTTCTCAAATTCCTCCGCTACTTATTTTTGGCTCCCTTCTTTCCCCTTCCTCTCATTACTTTCTTCCCTCCTCCCAGCGTAATATCATGGAGAAGCTGCAGACGGTAAGCGCACATAAACCATGCAGATGTATTTTTATTTATTTTTCCTTCCCGAGTCAATAGCACGAGGAAATACGCCACCGCATGTGTGGGTTTCGAGTGATTGGTACTGGTGGAGTTGGGAGAGCGGGGGCGGGGAGAGGAGACTGGTGAAGGGAGATATATACCGGAAAGGAGAAGAGGCATAGCAGAGAGACAGGAAAGGGAAAAGAGAATTGTTGAAAAAAAGTAATAAAAAAACGAGCAGTGTTAACCTTAAAGGCAGTTATCTTGGGAGGTGTTAAATCCGTAGGGCTCATACAGAGCCTGAGGAATGAGAACATATTAGGTTTGATTCGAGGAGAGGGTGGCTCTTAGAGGCCAAGATAAGGCTGATGCAATGGTCAGGCCAAAATGTGCACTAAACCTGTGTCGCTGTAAAAGATATTCCATTCCAGGGGCTCCTCTTGCCTTACCTGTAGACAGTTCTGGGGTCAGTAACCCCCGCCCCCCGGCCTGGTCCCAGACCAATCCTCCCGGTTGACAGCCTGATCAGTCACGCTATTAGTGTTGGATGCACGCAGTGCAACGTATGCACCACAGCCGGCTAATCATTGACTAACTCTTGGAACTTATTGGTTTCCTCTGGAAGACAGGGTCTGTTGGTTATTCTCTTTACACTTGAAGGGAGCTAAGTTTTCGTCCCTTTACACTTGTTTATCTCTTAGTGTACTCATTGCACCCCTCTTTTCATTGGGGGTATTTTGCACCACCTGCCAAGCGGTTTGCTTTCGAAATGATTTCAGTGCGCAGATTTATGATCAATCCTTCCAGAATCTTTCATTTATAAATTGATGTTTGAGGGATTTCACCTTCACCCAATAATTTAGATGCTTGACTGAGGTTATACGGCAGCAAATATCTTTATGTTCTCTAAATCTGCTATTTCCCCTGCATTAAAAGGGGCTGTTTGTGTACAGTAATATTCCAGTCTAAAGATAAGTGACGTAGAATATCATTGGCTTAGCGCTTTTCTAATGTTTTCCTTGCCAACACAACTCTGTGAGTACACCCAAACACTCATGATTCAATTGATCTTCTGATTCTGAGCTCTTTAAAAGGAAGAATTCTTGGTTAAGTTCTGAAGAAGCTTCACCGAGAGCATAACTTCGTTAAATAAAAGAGTCGGTGGAGCAGTGATTAAGCATCAATTTCCTAGTCAGTATGGTTATTAAATTACATATATGGGTAACGAGCCCCTGGCATATGTTACCCTTCAGAATGTGCATACTTAAAGAGAAACATTCTAATCTTTTTTCAAAGGGGAAAAAACAATACCGATCAAACTAAATGAACTCTAACAAATCATTGTCTGTACACACACCCATTCACGACACGTTGTACCTCAAAGGCATGCAGAGACAGCAAGCCTTAAAAAAGAAAAAAAGTTTCCTCAGCAAGAGCTTTATCAAATTACATAGAGATCTAGGCGCACTCTTCCTTACAAAGGCCAACAGTGAAGTGCTAAGAGGAGGGTTGGGTCAAATAACAGGGGAGGTGCAGGCAAGTGAACAGCATCGGAGTTGGTGAGTGGGCGGTGGTGTGGTGAAAATGAGGTAGGTGAGAAGTGTACAGGTGACATACAGTGGGTTTAGGGGACTCGAGTATCTGCAGAAATAGAATTTCGTGGAACACAATATTCTACAATGGTGTGGGCGAGCAATTTTGCATTTGTGAAGGGCCCAAAGGTTTTGCTCATTGAAGTCTCGAAACTTGGATGGTGACAGCCTAAAGACACTTTTGCGTTTTCCTGTCGCTCGTGCATTTTATTACCTGTGCTATGTTTCAGTCCATGAGATAAGAGTAGCAGTTTTCATGTATTACGAAGGCATTGCTGACTCTGTTAAGAAGCATTTCTGTGTTCCTGAACTAGTGTATCGAGATTAGGAAACATTTCATCTACAAATAGTCTGTCACAGCTGGAAGAAATAATGGTATAAGGTAGCATAATTTTCTACCTTAGTTTGACCGTTTATGCTACCTTATGTCAACCAATCCTAAACTAGCACACATGTATGAACTCAAGATTCATATTTTTATTATTAAATTATAATCCGGGGGAAGTGCTAAGACCAATGGGATCATATAGGGAATGAGAGGCAATCTGATTTAATCCAGGGAAGGGGAGGATAGACCCACTTCCTTGGCTAAGAGGCTTTCATCGGTCAGTATCTCCGTGCATCCTTTTACTGTCAAATCAGGCCATATTATCAAGTCTCCAAAAGAAAGCGTGGAAATCAACAGATGGAATTATCCTCCCTAGCGGTAATCCCATCCTTCAAGTTACACATTCCCCGACAGTAAGTGAGACGGCCCATGGTCTCAATACACAAGCAATGAACGCTGATATATATATAAACAGTCAACAATGCCTGCGTAATCCATAGAAAATGCTGTTCTCATCTCTTGGATTGAAGTAAGTTCAGCAATTATGGGAGTGACAGGAACAGGCGAAAGTATCTCGAGGATGCAACCATTGAGGTCTCAAGACACCATCGATGCCTTTACCACTGCGAAACCAGTCGCCCACACCATTCTAGAAAATAGCATTTTATGAAATTCTGTTCCTGCAGATACTCAGGTCCACTTATTTAAACCTACCTGTCCCACTACTCACTCAACTTGGATGAACTTTTCCCTGTCCCTTGACCCAACCTTCCTCTTAACACTTATGTAAGACAAGAGTAAATAGCTCTCACAAAGTGAGACGTTTTTAATAAAAGCTTGCTCTTTGTGTCTTTGATTTCTCTCCCCCTAGTACATGAAAAAAATAAAAAATCAGTTAGGTTAGAGGTATGCGTTGCAGTGGGAGTTAGCTATAATGGTTCCCACAAGTGGTCATAATTTTTTTGTAAATATACAGATTGAAGCAGATTTCTCCCCATACCTTATATTTAAAAAATCTGATCTATTGTTTTAAGGATAGATTAAACGTAGACTCAGAGATGGTTCCTATATCACGAAAACAATCGTATTTTCAGTGTCATCTTTGCATTTTCCACCGTCTTAAATTATAGTAAAGCCAAAATACTCTTAGGAAGATAAGCTATAATCAGAGGTCAAACAATAATTAGGGAAATACCAATGAAATAATAGTTGTCAAGGTAGCTGAAAAAGGGATAAAAGCAATGGTCTCGTTTTATTCTTTCCTGGTCTCCTCGTTTTCTTCCTCCTGCCCTCCCTTTCCTGGTTGGTCGGGAAAATTACATCGGCAACTTTTGACGGCATTATGAACATGCTATTGGAAAGTTTTGAACTTCGCCCATGATACAGTTAGGGAGCAGAATTGAGTTCGCAACTTGCAAGGGATGAGGTAGGCGGTTGGTCGTGGTTAAGGTTACAAAGGTTACAATATATAATTTATATTTACTAAATCATTTTGAGAGAATCAGTATAATGTTTGTACGAGGTATGTATTTTAGCTTGTAAAGGTTATACTGATCATTGCATTTTTAATCTAATACTCTACTAGTGTTGCTTGATTACGAAAACACTTGTTCATGTACCATGCACTAAGTGCCCCTGAGTTGCATTAGGGATTAGGTCACAGTATCTCATTACCTCAGACTCGACAAATCATAATTCGAAATAAGTTTGTATGTTTTATGGTGTATATTGCTTAGCGTAGGCGTGTCTTATCTGTGTGATGTTGCTTCGGCCGCCCATGACTTCCTTCGCAGCTTCTTTCATGATATTACAGAATCTCATTTGGGAACATGTGAGAGAAATCCCTCATGACCTATTTGGCATCATTGACTAGAGTTTGATACCTGCTTAACGTTTAAAGGTTGGGGTTTCACCTCAGTAGGTGCCTGTTAGAGTATTGACCACTCAGGGGAAGTTCCTTGATGCCGGCGAGTGGCTCTTGATGCAAGAAATTGCCCGTGTGTTTCCCTTCCTTGGAATGAACCTGATTGTCTCCCTTTTTCCGCAGGCGCTGTACGATTCCTGCGGGTTTAGCGTTTCCCTACAATTATATATTTCTGAAGGCATTATGTAATTTGCACACCGCTTGAAATAGCCTTTACGATGTGCTTTAAGTACTTGCAAGCATTCATGCTCACCGCCTTATTTCACCTCAACAAAGTTGACTCAACTTGTCCCTAGGAAAGATGACTGTTCAATTCCTAACAACTGCGCCCTTTAGCTTCACTTCCACTGCATCATCAACATGGCTTCCGCATGACTCGTTCAATTGATTTTCTCTTGCCTCAGGTCTGGTGAACCTGGCTTCGCGATTATGGCAAATCTTTTGCAATAACTTTTGGCATTTTTCACTCTTTTGATATGGTAGTGTCACAAATTTTTGCTCTTTAAATTATTTTCTTTTTTCAAATTTAACATCGCAAATTTCGAGCTTCCTCCTTGATGGGTCCATCTCAGCTGGTAAACATTTTTTTCGACACTCGCCTTTCGATGAGAAGTTGCAACTGTCTCCTCTGTCATTTCTTTGTTACTTAATCTCTGACTCTTGAGTTGTATGCTTTCTTTTTTCTATTATGTATAATTCTCATATGCTTCTTTCTCACGGGTGTTCTGTTGCGGGTCCTATAATAATGCATCACGCTAATAAGTAAGATGTGCTACGTACTTCTTGCTTATTAACTTGTTGGAACTGTATACCATTATCATATACCTTATGCTCTTTTAATTTTTCCACAGCTATTCTTCTAGACCTGAACCATTTTTATCCCTGCCACTTTTGATCTAAAGAGGAGTTTGTAGCTATCTTGACTACACACAGTTTTGCCCCCTAGCCAATGATTAGCCAGTATTATATTGTTATAAACAAAAATGGAAAGCTTGTACTTGGATACATTTTATTACACGCCTTTTCAAATTTTCAATTAACAGTGAGTCTTTGGAAATTCATAGGATTATATTAGGACAAAACATGTTTATTTTGGATATGTATAGTACATTTTTTTGTGCTTTCTGGATAGTATAGCAACAATCCAGTGCGGTACTACCGTCTTTTCATTGTATAGTTTGAAACATGAGTTTGTTGAACATTTTGCAGTTTGCCAGAGTTTCTGGTCTTGAAAAAAAGTGCAAACAAACTTTTACTTTGACAGCTTTTTGCTTTATGTAGTTTTATCAAACCGTATTGATTTAAGAAAGCTTTATACAGATTTTATGTTGTCACAAAAAAAAAAAGAATTGCCCTGCATATTTATTTTTTACATCATCGACAATATGGTTTTGTACCCAATGCTGGTCGTTTCTGTCTCAAGAACATGCAAATGTTCACAAACTGACATTCAGCATATACATTGTTTCATAGTTTTTTGGAGGAGCAGTGATCCCGGAATCATTAACAAATATAATAGATATATACACTTTCATACATAAGACAAAGATTTATTAAGTGCTCGTATTTCGGTGGATAGTGCATTTTTTGTGCAGTTACTTTTTTTTGACTACATGCATATGTAGTGAACAGTGATTCTGCAAAAGCCTTCGACAAGTACTACCAAGGTGTGATAGTGCACAATATGTACGCTATTTTTTTTTTTTTTGGTAGACAGGTTGTTACTAAAATAGTTGTTTTCCCCTTTGCAGGTGTCCAGGTAACTGGGTGTCGTGTCCCCATTCTACATCCGGGTGTGAATACCGTGGTTCCCAGCGCTCCATCACCACCCACCTTACCACCTGCACTTATAAAGATCATGGTGAGTATCAGAGCAACGTAAAGATAGTTTTACGTCTAGTTCTGTCACTTCTCTGCAGGTATACACATCAAGGTAATGCGCATTTTTTTTAAATGGAGGACACCGCAATATGTTACCTCATTAAAATCTAAGTAAATTTATTATAAGTTTTTGAAGACTTTCATCCACTCTGCAACGATTAAGAACACTTGTGGAGCCTAAATCGACCTGCTGCGGGTAATAAAAAAATGTTTTCATACCTATTAGAGTTAAGTTTTCCTCCACATGAGAATATAAATTTAGTGCCCCACGCGACAAAGCTTATTGCTCCTAAAATTAGAATGTATGCGAGCATGTCTGTATTGATATAATGATTACGTATTAATCTGTCCCTTTTGCCCTCTCCCGTGGCTTGTTGACATTATCTTCATTTGGGCTATAACCGGCCCCTCTCTGTTTATCGTTGTTTATTTGGCTTACACGAAGCTGTTTGTGTCTGCCGTGATTGTGTATTCAACGCTGTTATTCTCAAGCTAATTACCAGTGGTTTACAAAAGTGGCTCCATGGATCAATATTAGACATCACAGCAGAGTTTATTTATGATAGTGGGGGTGGACACCGTCAGGTTTGGCTGTACTCTGTCGTAAGGGGTAATACCACATGGTCGTCACACGCCTTGCAAGCCTTAGCAGTTCATGAGGCTCGTCCATTTACTATCACACCTGTCACCTTTCTTTTTATTCCCCTCAACCATTGTCTCTGCAAGTCTTTTGCCTCTCTTCCCTCTCAGTTACATTTCGTAGATCACGTATGAAATTATATTGAAAAGGGGCAGTTCCAGTGGGCCCTGCAGACGAGCAGAATTTTTTTAAGAGTTCTACAGTGATCGAATTTGCCGATTTATGATAGAGCACATCAATCTTCTTCATGTACCCTATATGCTTGAAGGGAATCGTCCTACTCTACGCTAATTACAGAAAATCGCTGATTGACACATTAATGTGTCCTAGGCTTCAGAGCTTTCGGTTTCAGCCTAGAGGTTTCATACTCGCCTTTTAGACTTTGGTAACATTTTGGGGAAATCTTTTAGTGCGCATTATTTAATGGATAGTGAAAAATGTAACCGTTTAAAAAATATGTTTTTAAGGACTTGATGGTTTGTTTCGGTGTGGATTTAGTTGGCAAGTGCAAGATAGGTTGGGTTGTGCCTGTTTTCAGTGTACAGTGTGCTGCACGATTTTCAACCATGGGACAGCTGTTCACTGTATCACATTTTATAACCTCTGGGTTACTTAGAAGGACATCTGGAAAATTTTAGGGGACCTAATTTCAAGTCTGATATTGTTATTAACTGATGGCTTATATTTTAATATGGAGTGTGTATATTTATGTAATTGTTAATTTGTCTGAACGGCTTTTACTTGCTTGGACAAAGGTTAATTATGGTATAACATCTGTGTATATGGTACGAGCATACTATGATTTATTTTGTTGCTTGGATCACTACTAAACCTTTAATCCTTGATCTCTAAATATACGACCTTCCCTCTTATTCTTTCGGATTCTGCTCTCAGCCTAGTCCACCACACTACTACATATTCCCATTCCTCTCACTAGGCTCCCCTTTTCCATTCGCCCTTTCCTAACCGTTCAAGGTGGGCTTTAATAGTGGCAAAGATCTTCATCTAAGAAATTGAAACTACTGTCCCCTTCCATAGTCTCTTTGCCCGGTATAATGGCATGAAGTTTTGTAGTGCCCCAGGCCGTGTCAGTCTGGAAAATGAACGAGCAAATGCTGAAGCAAAGGCAGCTCCTTTAAGGCTTTAAAATTGCTCTATAGCAAACTTTAATGCTTTAAAACTGCTCTAAAGCAAACTACCTCACAGTGGCTTCATGTGTCACACACATATGAATATATCTTTAGGAAGCTGTGGGTCCACTTGGAGACAATTATGTTCACTGAGAATAGCCCCTCAAGGAAGGTTCCTTGATGTTGGTGAGGGGCTCTTGATTTAGGGAATTGGATCTGTGCTCCAGTTCCCCGAATTAAGCCTGAATGCCTTCCACATCCCCCCCCCCCAGGCGCTGTATACTCCTTCGGGTTTAGCGCTTCCCCCTTGATTATAATAATAATCACTGAGAATAGGACGGACGGACACCCACCTCAACCATATTCACCTGGAGAGCGAAACGTCACATTAGTTGCTCTTGTGTCCTTTTACCTAACATAATAGGTTTATAACAGCTTGGAGATTTGTGATGTCCTTAATAAATGCAACTCCTATGCAAAGGATGATACAGTTCCATGATTTATGTCTATATCGGATATGAGAAAGAGAACAGGGGAAAGTACGTACCTTGGAGAACACCTTTTGTACGGCAGCCTCCGATTTCACTCTGTTGACTGTTATAATTTAGATTTTATTCGATAGAAAACTACATACCCATCTGCTCATTTTTTTCGGTTAATCTTTTTTGCACTTTTTTGTTGTCTATTACTCCATGGTCACACTTGTCAAACGTTTTTGCTAAGTTTGCATACACTAAATCAGTATTTTAATTGTTTTCCACTGCTAAGACCATGTAATGTTCAAGCAGTTGCCAGAGGCAGGAGCGGCCTGCTTTAATTAAACTCATGCTGCCCTGGATTGTGCAGTTGTTGAGATTGCGTGTGATTAGCAATCTTGCTTCACAAGGGCTCAGGTATTTTTTAAAAATTTTTGGGGGGCGTAACTGTATGGTCTGTACTTTTTTAAAGCTTGGGTTTACTCCCAACGTTTTGGAGGGCTGTCTTTGGGTTTTGGAATTTTTTTTTTTAAAAAATGTTTTGATAATTTTTTTGCCCAAAGGGGCCCCCTCTCCAAGAAAATTTTTAAGGCCCTAAGATAGGGTTTCTTGAGAGGGGTTTTCCCGATGAATATTTAAGATCCCCCGTTGGGCCCCGGGGCGAGTGCAGGGGGAAGCATTTAATGGTTTTTTTTAAAGAAAAAAAGTGGTTTCGAGTTGTCAAAAAATTTTTGGGGATGTCCCCGGGGAGGATTTTGAATTCATCCCTGAAAAAAAAAATTCATTTTGGGTTGTCAGTCCCTTTTGGCTGATTAATACCTCACTGAAAACACTCGCAATTTCAACTTCAGCATTTCACTATTTTTCTTCATCATTTTTGGTTCCATCTACAAAACTGGGGGTTTGTCCTGGATTTTTTTCATATGGGGAAAAAATTTTAGGTGGATAAACCTTGAACATTTAAAAATAAGAGGGGGCCAAACCCGGGATTTCTCTTTCAGGGGCATTTTTTTTCTCTAGGCGGGGGGTTTCTTTTTAACTTCGTTCAGGTAAAACAAAATTTCAACCTGGGGGTTTTGCAGAAACCCTTTCCCGCCCCTATTAAAATTTCCCCTTTAGTACCCAAAAATTTTAAAAAACGATTGAAGCCCCCCGATTTTTACTCTTTGCAAAAGAAAGGGAAGGAAAAGTACGTGATCAGCCTGCAAAAAACGCAGCCCAAGGTTTCATACTTGGCATTACGTACACTCTCAATATTAGAAAAATTAATTACTTACAGTATAATTACTACACAAACTACTACAATAGTTTAATAATATTATTACGTATCTTAGGGAAACGTAATATTAATAATATTGTATTACATGAAAAAAAGAAGAAAACAACCGTCTCCTACAAGAGCAGCTAGAAAATTTTTCTCTGCTACATCACTAATCTAGCGGTAAATAAATCACGAATTTAATATAGAATCAAATAACCAAATGGCGAATAAAATGAGGATGGGCACACGAGTAGTGTGGTGCATTTTTTAAAAAGTAACCTAGTATTGAGAGTTCTGCTAACCACAACCACTCGACCATAAACCAACGGTGCGTGAACCAAGTGGACTTATGATAGTTCTATTAGGATCCAGAAATGAGAATGAGAGAGCGCGCAAACTGTACTTATACTATCAACCCAATTTCATAAAAAATATAGCATATATAATTGCAAAGATTAATAGCAAATATTTTATATATATTTATATAATATATATATAATATATATATATATATATTTATATAGATAATATATAATCAATAACCTTACTGCGCTACCAGATTCTTTACCCATGTTAACTGGCCTCCTCATGGTAAGGCAAGACCCCTACATGACCGTTAAACCACTAGACCACCCAACCCTACTAGAAAAATCCACCAGCCACAAGCTAACTTTTGGCCGCCATCCGCGGGCATACTGGGTGTGTAGATTCTACGCTAATTCATTCTCATCCTGTCTGGTGTACTAACTCACGACCAGCATTTACATATTATTGTTCCACGAACATGTATTGATCAATAACAAACTGCGCTAGCCAAGATTCGAACACCATTTTACTGCCTGCCCTCAGGTAAGAATTGTTTGTTTATTGATCAAAATCACTCGTTCGTGGTTACAATAATAGTAAATCTGTCGTGGCTAGTACACCAAATCAGATAGAATGAAATTACTTAGAACACCCACACCTCCGTATGCCCTCGGATGGCCGGCCCAACAGCTAGCTCTTGTGCTGCTGCGCCATTTTTGTAGGTTGTTGGTCCTTGGTAAAGAGCCATGTGTTCTTGCTTACCATGAGCAAGTCCAGTACAACAGGTTCCGAATCCTTGGCTAGCGGCATGTTGTTATTATCAATACCACGTTTCGTTGTTACAATTTATAGATATATTATATATATATATATATATAATATATTTTTATAATTATATATATAGATATGTATATATATAAATATAGATATATATATATATATATAATAATATATATAATGTCGTCCGAATAGTCAAACTTGATGCTGCTTAAATACTACTCTCGTCTTGCCGAATAAGGCAAGCGAAAATTTGTGTAAGCAATATTTTCGCAAAAATCATTCTGAACCTAACGAAAAAATATTAGTTCCCGGTGTTTGTTTAGTAATTAAATTATTGTAAACTGACCTAACTAGATTTAGTTTACATTAGGCGAAATGAAAAATTGCGCTTATATTATTAAGGTTATAAGTTTTCAAGGTTCTTTCTTTTATAAAATATTAATTTTTACAATCACATAAATTAAAAAATAATATCTTTAAAAGTAAGAAAAATT